AATTCGCTCATGTGCCCAAAGTATGTACCTTGGAAGCGTATAGGGACGTGGAGGTATAGACCCACAAATTATAGACTTCAGGAGTGGGTCTGGAAGAGTTGACAGCCTCTTGGAGAAACGGCCCCACTGTGCCCATTTTATGAATGTGGAGCCCAACACAGGTCAACAATTTTGCTCATTGTTTTGGATTACTTTGAAACGTGACTTCTACTTAAGGAGTGAAATCATTCGAGGGGACTCAACAACAAAGTGTTCAGGAATGCATTTAAACAGAGGCGTGTTTGAACACATTGTTATGGTATTATGATAGGCTGGGCACGTAGCTAAGATGAAAGAAACAAGACACACATGACTTTGTAGAATACCAGCCCGTAAAATGCCCTGTTGGAAGACCTAGAATAAGATGGTAGTACGATATTTATTAGGCTTATGTGGATATAGATTTTGAAGATTAGAGGTGGGCGGAATTGGCTCATGCTGACCATTGGCGGGGCTTTGACACTGGCGACGTTANGTTTTGGATTACTTTGAAACGTGACTTCTACTTAAGGAGTGAAATCATTCGAGGGGACTCAACAACAAAGTGTTCAGGAATGCATTTAAACAGAGGCGTGTTTGAACACATTGTTATGTTATTGTGATAGGCTGGGCATGTAGCTAAGATGAAAGAAACAAGACATACATGACTTTGTAGAATACCAGCCCATAAAATGTCCTGTTGGAAGACCTCTTCTTATAATGTATTTAATAACGCTTTCCTGACTACATAGGCCACCCCTAAACAGCGGAGACGTAGTGTGATTGTGTACAGGTAACTGAAAATGTCCGAAGTGGCCGTGGTTTATTTCATGGCCTACACCAGCCTCTACCGAAAATAACTGAGGAAAGTCACGAATAATATGNTGACAAATGGCTAGACCAGGAACTACTAAATTAGTCGAGAAAAAACAAGCTTTTCACTGGAATTTAAGTGACAGAAGCCTGAATGTTTGTTCCGTAGTGTCAAATGCGTGAAGCTTTACCTCTATGTCCTCCATACATCTTTTTCGCCCGGTGTTTAGACACAACTACGTGCAGTGTCACTCTAAAGATAATTCAGTTTCGTAGCTTTGTGTTGGTAGCATTGTAACGAAAATCTGCTGTCTCGTTGTTTTGTTACTAACTGTCCATTTTAATTACTGATCAAAATGGCTAACCCGTGACTTGTATTCTGGAGGTTCTCGGTTCGAATCTGGGCAGGACACGACTATCCTCACTGCAGCTTTCGTGGTTTTCCTTAGTACGTCAAGGAAAATGCCAGGATAGTATCTTAAACCAAAGCGTGGGCGCTTCCTTCTGCATCCATTTGAATTCATTATTCACTTCAGTCCAGTCGTTCGAAGCTACGTAACCTCAGTTGGTGCCAGCGTCGTTAAACAAACTACAAATAAACTAATCCATTGAAGTTAGTAGCGACCTGCACGCCACTGATATCAGCAGCTAAGACTAGTAGCGTCTCATGACAGACAGCAGCCGAGCCAACCAATCAGGGGCACAGGTGCAGTCGTACCACCTCCCCCCACCCTTTCTTTTACACGTTGCTTCGGCAAGCTCAGACAAAGTTACGAGTGGTCGCCGCGGCACAAACAGGCTGGGGAAGGTTTCTGCAGTGAGAAATGGGGCAGCTTGTATGGATATGCATCTGTCAGTCAGTAAACTGCATGCTGAGTTAAACTGAGTTATTGTAACTCAAAGGCCGTGCCAGAGCTCAGGCGGTTAGTCGCTGGCTTCCCACAGCAGCGGACCGGGTTCGAGGCCAGGTCAGGTGATGTGGGAATTGTGGACAAAGTAGCACTGGGCATGTTTTCTAAGAGTTAATCGATTCCCCTGCCAATTCTCATTCCACCGACTACTTCACATTCATCGCCTATCATCCGGGGCGGTACGTGTACATTAGGCCAGTTAGTGGCCGCCGTGACGACTGGGCTCACTCTCACGTCACCCCTTCTCACAAAACCTATTGTAACTTAATGCCAAAAGCCCAGCATGCTACAGCGAATGGAAGCCATCCAAGCGACCTGAGTTCGAACCTGAGGACCTCCAAACATAAATCCATCCCATCTTCAAATATAAAGGTAACAAAAGGTAAAATTGGCCGGCCACGGTAGCCGAGCTGTCTGAGGTATGCACTGTCTTCGCTCGCTCGGAAGCCGATATTGTGGGTTCGAACCCCACTCAGGAAATGGATGTTCAGTGCTTGTGTGTGCGTTTTTCTGTGTTTCTGTACAGGTAGAGGCCTTGCTACGAGCTGATCACCCGCCCAAGGAGTCCTACCGAATGTCTAAAATCTAGTAAACCGAAGTGAAACGGAGTTTCATGGGGGTAGGCCAAGGCCAAAATAGGGGCTGTAGCGCCAAAGGAAAAAGGGTAAAGTTGTCCCTGTGCTTAACTAATTAAGCACTACACCATGAAGGCGTATGGGGGAGTGGATGTATAGATCCATATTTTCTTGACCTCGGCACTAGTTGGACGTGAGTGGTCAGGTTCACGCCCCGGCCGCTTTACTCCCGAGCTTAAAATTATTATTATT